ACAGCGAGTGCCGTATGTAGTATATACTGTACGCATTAACCCACCAAAGTCAGCTACCAGAAGGAGTGCGAATATCAACTTGAAAATTGGCACTTCAGAATCAAATAATTCAATCAAGAAAAACTGATTTTTTGAAAATTTTTGTGACCATAGGTCAAGCAGGGCGATAGCCTGCCAAATTGACAGGGATGGGCATCCTGCCATTTGGCAGGTAACACGCCGAAATTCATAACTAATTATAGCAGTGTAGTACTGAGTCAGGCAAGCATTTAATCGAAAGGCCTCACAAAGCTCTTCAATTCCCATACAGTGTTGTGGTCGTCGAGTTGACCAGTGGTCAGCGATAATAAAAATTGTTAAAAAAACTGCGTTTTTGGGCCGGTATGTGTTAAAACAGATACAGTGTCCACGCTTTTCAATAAAAAACGATATAAAACGATTATTAGGTTGGCAAAAACAGCAAATGCGTACTTACCAGTACGTATGCGGTGTCTGTCGCTTATGTCGGCGTTAGGTTGCATGTTAATAAATCTTCGTTGTTGTCGCTTACTGTTTTTAGCCGACTTTTGGTCACGTTATAGTGAATACAGGTTACAGAGGGCACTCTACATAAAGCCTCAACAATATTTAAGCAGTTTATAAGCCAATAACCACAGCGACAACTACCCGAACCACATCACCTACGTCCTACAGTATAGGGTGTGTGCCGCATCGGCAGTGAAAAACTATACTCGCATGGTCCTTTCCGTTATTATCCGTTATGGCACGGTAACACAACGAAGCCCATGCGTCCGCGGAATGCAGAAATGCTATACAAGTTCAAAAATGTCTACGTACCTTTATATCAGGTTCAAATCTTATCATTTCTTCTAACCTGGACTAGTTATATTGTGTAGTATATTCGGTTCTCGAATATAGATCTGAATTTTTACATGGCAGTCGGCAAAATTTTCGTGTCAGCAAACGGAAAACACTTTTCGGTCCACGATCCGCGGCAGTTCTTGTTGTTTTACACTATATTGGTAAATAGTTTTCCAAATTTCGCTAAAAAAAGCGGTTTTTGAAAATTTTCGAGCTTACTGACCACCGGTCATTTCGATGACCACCGAAATACCAGCCTTTGTATTACCTTTTTTGCCCGATTTTTTGATTCCATGTGAGGCTTTTCACCAAGCTTTTGAGATTTTAGATCGAATTTACAGTTTTATTGCTGAAATAGCACTGTGCCCATCCCTGTCAAACTTGGCAGGAAATTTTAGAATGACCGTGCTCGTCCACTGTCCAGTCATTTTTCTTGCCATTTAATGATTTTGCAATAAGGGCCGCCAGGTCCGGTCGAAAAATTTATTGTGAAATTATCTACTGTTGGGAGGCTGCAAGGGCAACCAAGACCTTCGCGAACCCAAAATTCCTGATTTTGGGCACCTTTGGTCACTTGGTGCATGCCCAGGCCACACTGTGTTTGACAGTCCAATTTTTTAAAATGTCACTTGTTACGCCGGTACACGCATAGCGGTCATTTGAAAGGCGACTCTGTTTATGAGCTTTATTGCTAAACTTGTGTTTGTGCATGATGCGTTTTATTACAGCTTGTTTAACTGCGTGTGTGTGTGCATGGATGAGCACGTTATGGCTTTGGCCATAACGCTTGACAATCTAAGAGATTGTTCTCATGTTTATTTCCTCATGAAAGTTACCGAACTTTCTAGAATCGTTGCAACACGGTTGCACTAAGATATAAGGTTTTGCTTTGCTGTGAATGATATCGATCATTCCAGCGATCGGTCTACCATTTCCTGTTGCTTTCCATCTCATTGTTATTCTTGCTTGTTGTGTGATTAAAGTTATAGTTAAGAACTATTACTTTCACTTTCCGTCAGCACAGTATACGAGTATATTACGCAGTCATATACGGCACTGGCCCCGTATTACACTTAACATCTCTGTTGTGAAATTTAACTAAAGAATATGATCAATCTGCGTTACGGGATCTTCTAAAAAAAGAGTCCGCCACCCTGCCATTTGACAGGGATGGACGGGAACGGGTTAAACCGGCAAATCTTTCCGGAAGATGCATCTGTCCGAAGCCCGGACGGCTACTGCCGCACATTGCTCGCAAAATTATTTGTCCGTTGGCGCAGATTGTAGCCCTACCCTGAAATTTTGCACAGGCGACTACATTATTTATTTCAATCCATTATCATTATATTCTCAGAAATTTGTCGCTTTTTGAAACCGCACACTGTGTAGTAGCTGACAGTAAAGTGTGACTGAACTGATAGCCAGCACCTAAAGCGTCTTTCAAGGTCACTAAGAGAGAAATCATTCTCACAACAACACCAGGTTCAATCGCAATGTCGCAAACAGTAACTCCTCCAAATGTTTGTTTTGCTACAATGCTGAAGCTCAGTCAGAACATGGTTTTGATTATATTTTAAGAGGTTTGCGCGTTATTAAGAAGTTCCAGGTATTTTATTACATTTCCGGTTTAGCTTGCAATTATTCGACATGTTAAATTTGTTAAATATGATGTCAGTCTACGATCTTGTACGCACAGCCATATACCGTTTGTTCTTCGAAACGTTTACCAAAAGAAAAGAGGCTGTTTTACTTTAATCTCGACGTTCTACAGTATGTGCTCAAAATCTGTATGTCTTGTCTGAACATTTGGACAACTCCAATACATACAATTCACACAGCAAATCAATATCGTTTTTGGTAATCTGGTGGTAAAGGTCGTGCATGATCGGATGGCATGCGACACGTCCGGGGAGCCACTGTTATCGGCAAATACCTTGTCGATTTTTTTTGAAACCCCAATACAATTCAGAACCAGAAATTTTATTATCAATAGGTAACCATAGAAGAAAAATTAAAATAGTGTTCTCTGTAAACGTACTATACGATTACAGTATATTGTATAAAATGCGCCGATTCCGAAGGCCGGATTATAATATTATTATCGAAACGGAAATCATTGGTTTACAATTTCCTTCACGGATTACAACGGTTAGCAGAGCAGCGCAAATTCAAATTCATAATAATTATTAAGTGATGTTAACCCGTTCCACACTATGCGTGTTAGACCGACATGGTGGAGGACTTCTTCTCTCTTATTCGTAACTATGGTCATAGGTTGGTTTTAATTGTTTTGTTTCAAAAAACAGATGTTAGACTACAGTTTGCGATGTATAACCGTTAACTCCCTCATGTCCGTAAGTTCCAGGGAGTGGCCAAACATGGTCAAAACTGACCAAACGGAGTTCTCTGAGGTCCTGCTTCCTTTACAGCCAACTCCACATCAGATAATTCCCAGAAAAATTATGAAAGAAGTAACTGCTAAGCTCTATACAAAATTGAAGCATAGTTCAGAGAAAAAACGTTCAGTGGTCTGTGCTGGTCAATTGAAAATACCATGTCGGTTTTGACACGGTTGGACACGGTACTAAATAATTATTATTCTTCAGAAATTCATATCAATTGACAGAAGCATCGTACACGGTACAATAAACAATCAAAAGAAAGCCCATAAATTGTTGTATTAACTGACTGGACCATAATGGTCAGCGAAGTGACCACTGGTCAGCACAGACCGGAAACCCGAAAATGCAATTTTGACTAAACGCCATTAAAATAAATGTAAAAAAATGCAAAACAGTTTTGTAATGACTGCCCTCGCTATCTTCGAAATGGCTATGACCCGTACTATCTACAATATAACCGCATAAACGACTGAACGTCGGATCGGAATAGTTGCGTGAACGGCTGTTTCGGCTATTGGCTGTACTGTGCGTTTGCTTGTGTGCGGAGTGCTATTATTGGCAACATGCCTCGTCCTTCGAGCTGGCTACTCCATTGTTCATCGAACAATTCGTATTTTCTTTGCAAATTTTATCTTAACTAAACTGTAGCAATGAGTGAGAAGTCCTGTAAAAGTTATTTATCTCGCGTTAATATGTACTCGGCTAGTGACGCTTGTGCCCTTGCATCAAGCACACATTTTGACCTTCCGGTCCATGAGCGCCCATATTACGGCATGCCTTGTAACTTGTAGAAATCAATGTGTGCGACGCTGAGAATATATCGCAGATTTGAAGTGACTTAGAAGTCTTGTCTTCTTTTCTCAATACCGAAATTTGTTGTTTTGTACATGTGCTGACGCAAGTATATATAACAGGCTTGGCAGAACTTTACTGACCTTGATGTGCTAAATTCCCGTATTTCTCAACAACTGGTCACTTGTAGAACAATTTGAAGAATTGACCACCGGTATATTAACGATGGTGATCATTTTCCGGAACCAGCCCGGCTCTTTATCTCTGGTGTCCGGTTCAGTTGTATAGCCGGATATAGCATTGCTTCCACTGCACATGTTACTCAAACTATGATCCACATTAGGGTCGATGACCAGTTGTTCCAGACATAAGCAGAAGTGACCAACTGTTGCGAAATATCCAACTACCACTTATGTAATGGTGCATTTTAATAATTTTTTGTTTTTAAATTTTTCTTGACCACTGGTCATCCCAATGACCATCACAATGCACTTGTCGTAAAGTACTCATTGAGATCTTTCGTTTGAGCTATTGACATATTCTATGCGATTTTTTTATCAGTTGTTATAAACGGCAATGGATAACATGTCGGCGCAACATGGTTACCATGCGTGTTAGGCCGACATGGTCATCTCCTGCTTGACCTATGGTCGCTAAAATTTCAAAAAAATTATTTTTTTCTTAATTGAATTTTTCTGTCCCAGACTGCCAGTTTTCAAAACTGTAGTGCCATCCCTTCTGGTACCCGGTTTTCCTGGGAGATATATCTGAAGTGGAGCACACAGAATATACTGCGTGTTAACCCAGCCCAACCCAGCGTGTTATAGATTACAATGAAATTCTATCAAATTTTCAGAGAAAACCTTGCTAATCTACTAAATTGATCTTCAAAACCGCAACTTGCTTAACCAGTTGACACTCTAGCGGCGGCTTACTTGTAATCGACATCAACGATATATATCGCGCCGGTACATACTGTAAACCTTTCACACTTGTGTACAGAAACTGCATTATTTTGCTGCTGTTTGTGGAAGCGGTGTATATACCACTTCCAATGTGCGCTTTGCAAGCGTACAAACGGCATACAGTTTTTTTCAAATTCGGGGCTCCAAATACATATTCATAAATTTCAAGATGTTGGTCGCATTGATTGCAACGCTGGCGATCCTGTGCCAGCCGGTAGCACTACAATTCGGTTCTCGTGAATCCGTAGCCGATACCGTGATTCCCGGTGATATTGTGCTGGAGACGAGTTCCATGGGATACGATGGAGGTCCATCAGCTGAGATGCGACCAGCAGCGGAAAAATACAATCAGTGTATGCAGCGTGTGGAAGCGGTGCTGTCCGCCCTGGACACCATCAACCAGGACAAAACCCTTTTTCCCGGCGTCAAACTCGGTAAACAATTTGACATCGATATGAATTCTGCCAATGTCAGCCATCCTACCGCAAAAGCTGATTTGTAATTAGCGAAAATAAATCACTAACTCGTATTACAGTAATATTCTCATACAGGAAATTCTGATGGCAGCAGCCTCTGGATTTCTTGCAATCATTATACAAACTAACAACGTTTTTAGAGGGAAATATACGGGGTATACATATATTAGATTATTAGTAAATTAACTGCAGCGTATTTTGTTTTGTTTCGGTAGTTGGTCGCTGAAATAAAATTGACGGAAAAAAAGTTATGCGAAGTCGTTGTTTGTTTGTAAATTTGCAGGAGCCAAGATATCGGATCACTGTTTTATCGATACTGTCGATATCTATCAACCGGTAACCCGAGTATCTAGCCAGCCACGGTTCGAAGTAGGTCCTAATCAAAGCGACAGCTCCACCATTATAAACGTCGATCCAGTACTAAACTTAGTCGCTATCCACCGGGGCTTGACGATGAAACCGTACCCAGATGACACGTCAAGATTCAAGCAGCAATTCGGTCTTTTCAACATGACCAGTATGTGATCCTAATTTATTAGGCGCAATGTTAAGCGAAATGTACAAGATATGGAAAAATTAAGCAAACCGTGTTCGGGTCAATTTACGACTCGATCTGTACAAGATTAACTTCAAATTTTCTACTACATTTCGAATTTACTAAATAATTTAATATGTTCTGCTTGCGGATTTAATGTGCTCTTTCGATTCAGAGTTTCATAAGAAAAAAATAACCTTTTCCTATTTTGTCCAGCTTTGACTGGAAAGGATCAGGGCAAAGCACTGGCTGATACGTTGGCCTTTTTCAACTGGACGTACGTTAACTCTGCCGCTTTCGAGGACCCCGAAACCAACGCGCGCCTGCAGCGATTTTTAGCGGAAGCGCAAAAACACCATATCTGCATCAAAACCAACCTGTCAATTCGTGCGCGAACTGGTGGCGACGAAGGTTACGACGGCGATTCCGAAACACTGCAGCGAATAGCACGAGACAGCCCCACAGTACCGGTTCTGGTCGTGTTTGCTCCGCCAAATATCATGACCGTCGCCTGGATGGTTGACTTTTTCAAGCAAGCGAAGAACCGTTCAGAAAAAGGACTGCTGTATGTGGGTTTGGTTCAGGATCCCGCCGATTTAGCTCAATTCCAAGGGGCGTTTCTGGAGGGCGAAATTCAGGGCTCTCTGACGTTAAAACTCAAACCGCCGGCACAGACCGCGTTTGAGCAACACTTGGTTAATTTAAAGCCTGGGCAAGAAGCTTACCGAAATCCGTATTTCCAGCGCTTTTGGGAGACGAAGTTCAGCTGCAAGATCGACGGGACCTCACCGGCTGACCCCAAATGGCGACAGTCTGACTGGAAATCCTGCAACGCGAATTTGAGTCTGAAGAAGGCTAATTTCACTACCGACGCAAAAGCAGCAAGACTTTACGAAGCGGTTCAATTTTACGCGAAAGCGCTAAAGAACTATCTTGGGCACGGTAGTGCGGCGAGGGATGCACGATTGCAAGTGCCCGCTCAGATCGATGGAGCGGTTTTTTACAATTCTCTTTTAAAAACGCCGATTAGTCAAGGTAAAAGTGCAACCGAAACTATTAAACATAAAGCGTCGCCATTATCTTTGTCTTTAGGGGAATTCGAAATCTATAGTTATCACAAGGTGGCCAGTGGCGGCGAGCAGCCAATCTTGCCTAAGAATGCCGGTTCGTGGCTTCGTTCTTTTAACATATTCCGTGAGATAATAAATTATTGTCGTTGTAGGTGAGGATGAGGTGCGGTTATATTACGAGCGCCTGGAAAAAGCCCGTGGAAGTTACGCTAATGTGAAAGTAGGCGACTGGAGCCCGTCTAAGCTCGATATCCACGTGGACAAGATTCAGTGGCCGCGGGGTCATGCAGGCATCCCAAAATCGCGAGCCAGCGAGCCCTGTGCAAAAGGCCAGAAGCAGGTCTTCGGAGAGAATACATGCTCCTGGGTATGCGCTGCCTCCTAGGAGACGGATTATGCATCACCTTGATTGGTTAACCAGGCGCACGCTGTTCGACATATCTGCAGCCTTTATGATTATAGTGAACGAAATAACAAAAAAAAACCTTTTCTGCTGGTGCTATATAACTTCAACACTGGCTTTATAACAGAACATCGAAAGACCCGTGTTGAATTTTAAACAAGTCTGTGACTTTGGTGTGTTTAAGATACGAACGAAGAAATGTCGACCTTCTTTCTGCCTCTCATAAATGCTCTAATAACCGCCCCTGCAATAAATAATCAGAAAATGATTCCTCATTTTTTGGGGTAGTCGCAAATAGCGAAAAGTGCTCACTTCCTGTAGACAGTAAGCGTTGACTTTTAAAAAGATAGATGGCTAAAGTATTTTTGATTCTTCGTTCGGCTGAAGAAAATCTTCCTTTATCAGCTTGTGAGGTTTTTTCTCAGCAAAAGGGTTGTGCAACAACGTTTACAGCCAGACTCTCAGCATCGGTTACTACAGATCTGATACACGTTCGACGACTGTATTATGTTGATCTTTCGGTGACATGGAATAAAATTTTAAGGAAACTTGAATAATTGATTGCGGTTTTTATAGGGGAATGTCTTTTGTGTGACAGGTCACCATGTTCTTTATTCTTTAATAACCATATTATCAAACCCAAGGGCTCACATGTGGTGCCCCAAAAAACTATTCGCTGTGAAACTGAAGAAACTTGGTTACAGAGAATAGCCGCAGCACCGTGAAGGATAAATCCAAAACGCTCTAAATAGTAGACAAGGTGTTGAGAAACAAAACGTGCACTGAGTAGTTTAATGCACACTAGAAATTACAAGGAATGCTACGCGTCTAACTGCAGTCGGGTGTGGCGTCGTACTGTGCTCGCAGTGTGGCAGCTTTGCGATTGACTTCATCGCAGCTCATCTCGGAGTTGATGCGCACATCGGCCTTTCCCGGCAGGTTACAGGTCCTCGAGAAGTCGGTGGAGCACTGGCCGAATGAGCAGTCCTTGCGGGAGAAGGATCCGTCGCACATCATGTAGAAGGCGTTGCACGACGGGCCGCGGAATTTCTGTACAGTGTGCATGAACTTGTAGCATTCACCCAAGCCGGCATTGGCGGATACGCCAGCCAATAAACCGGCAACGATAAAAACAACAGCTAATTTGTGCATTGTTTAAGTGGCGGGACACCGGTAATCAGAAAATGATCCAACTTGTAAGCGAATGAACGGTCTGCAACGGAGAGAGCAAAAGCAATTTATAGCGCATCAAGCTATACGCTGGAATTTTGCCTGGCAGCACAACATGGCCGAGATCGTTCACGCCTTACTGGAATTATACTGATCATTGCTGTACGCAGCCGGAACTGAATACTAAAAAGGCTTGCTAAGTTGGCACCGCACCCAGATTTTGAAATCAATGTCTTCGTTAAAATGCCGTCAAACAGCGACTGTTTTTACAACAACGAATTATCTGGCAAAACCCATTAGCTTGGCGTCAGCACAAGTCAGATCGTTAACAAGCAATTTTTTAGCGAACGCGAAAATTCATTTAATTCAGTTACATAACTACCCTTCCTTTGAAACCATCTTCGCTGGTGGAACAATACAGACTACTATGTGATTGAAAGTCGACCTGCAGGCAAATTTCGATAAAGTCTGCAACAGAAGGTAGACAAAAAACTTATTCTACATGATAATGCAGCTGCGCCGGTAAATTACACCATGCAACACTTTAGCTCAGATTGTGCTTATATGCTCTAAAAGGAACGTCCAGTAGAAAAAAAATTTCTCTTGCAAAACTGCTCTAGTCAACAGGTACTACAAAATAACTGTTTTGTATCTGTGCTCTGTAGTCTGTACAGTGGTCCAAAAATTTTACATTTCGGTAATTTAGTAAATATATTATATTATAACAGTTCTTTCAGAAACAATTTTAAAACTGGTAAAACATGTTCATGATACTTGTACCTTGTTGCTGTTCGCATCTGCATCGTGATTGCTGAATTGTATTACCTACAAGCTCTTCAATTTTCACGTTTTAGCGGAAAACGACTTGTGTGCAAGGTATAAACTATAAATAATTAATTATGTATGTAATTTATGCCTTTCCTGTTTAAAATGATTATTCGAAGCCAGCCATGTTTTCATGAAAAATTATTATTATTATTGCACTGGGTTATACCGGGTTTAAACTGTTGGTCGTTACCGAGAAAGGGTAAAACACAAAGTGTTTACCGGCATTATGCAGTCGTACAATTTTTTTACTGTGCTTAACATTGCTTGTAATTACTTTTAATTAATACGGTACTCGTTTTCGATTGAGCGATATAGCATTGGCGCGTCTAATATGTTCCGTGACAGGATGGTTCATACTTCCTTGTATGACAGACACTCGTACATTTATCACACCTATCAGCCTATTCGACGATGGCGACTGTTAAAAGTGGGTGTTTCCGTTCTCCGAAAATGAGACTTAAAACAGGTCATTGGGTTGTAATTAAAATTTAGGAAAACGTTTTGCACTGTTAATTCTTATTGTCTCAGTACGTTGCAGGTACAGCGAAATGCACGTGTATAGTTGTATTAGTCCTAAATGCAGTCAGCTGAAATCCCGGTATCGCCTTTTAATGGTCAGAATAAACTGGGATTCGCTTTGAGAATCGGTTTATTATTAATCGACATGGATGGTTACGAATCCTCTCATGAGAACTGACACATATTTTCAATGCAGGACCAGAAATAGTTGGAACTGGCCAGGCAAGGCAGCCCGTGGTTAAAAAGTTAATAACGAAATTAATTAAATCAACAAGCTTTGTGCAACAGTAAATGTTGCTCACAACGTTTTTAGGGAACATTTAACCTGCGGCAAAACGGTGCATCCATCTGCTTCTTCAATCTTTAGTACAGAGTACCTACATTCTATATGCAGCAAAATATACCTGCAGCATCCAGCTTCATGCAGTAGCAAGTTAGTATTTAATATTTTGCATTCACCACTACGCTGTGACCTTTGCCTGATAGCGTAGTAGCCGGTTTGGTTTATTGTAGTAGTTGGTTTGGCGTGCCACATGTTTTTCGCCTGCATGAAATTACGTACACAGTCAGTCTCTCGAGTCACAGTGTCAGCTCGTGGCAAACAAGATTACAAGCCAACTTAAGAAATCTTTATCAGAACAAGTCATGCCCAACGTTGTAACAAATTCATGGGATGTTCATCATAAATGGTCATAAAGTCCCAAACATCTAAACCCACAGCACCATAAACTGCTTAAAGTGCATTTTAACAGCTTTAACGTTAATAGTACGGCAGTAAGCCGGCGGGTTTCGTAATAGTATTGGCAAAAAAAATTGTTATTACGAGTATTAAGAAGTTTCATGAAAATCGGTTGCAGTATGGGTTTAGCTACAGTTGGGGGTGGCATCGTACTGCTCCTGTAGGGCAGTGGCATTGCCGTTCACTTCCTCGCAGGACATCTGGGAGTTGATGCGCACATCAGCCCGTCCTGGCAGCGGACAGGTCACCTCGAAATCCGTGGAACACAGGCCGAAGGAGCAGTCCTTGCGGGAAAATGATCCGTCGCACATCATGTAGAAGGCGTTGCAGGACTCGCCGCGGAATTTCTGCACTTTGTGCATGAACTTGTAGCATTCGCCCAAGCCGGCATTGGCGGATGCGCCAGCCAGTAAACCGGCAACGATCAATATTACCGCTAATTTATGCATTGTAAAGGTTAAGGGAAGCCCGTATTACTATAAAATACTGTAAAGCAACTGGACGGCTATTGTTATTTCTGCAGTCGTAGGCTTACTTGTTTTTTATCCACTTCACGTTGGGCGAAGGAATTTTGCCTGGCAGCGCAGAACGGCCGAGATAATTCACGCCTTAATGGAATTATGTATACTGCCTAATAATGGACAAACCCGGAACCTAATATTTGCAGTGGTTGGTAAATTGGCACCGCACTGTAGGTTTTCCAATAAACGTCTTCGTCGAAACCCAGTCAAGCAAGAGTAATTTTTCTTCAGAATAATTGCTGCTTTATTAAAGCGCATAAATTTAGAGACAATATTTGTCAGATCTTTAGAAAGCAATTTGTCAGGAGTGGAATTGCCATACCGATAGTTACATACAGTAAGTGCTTCTTCAGTACTCGTACTGTTTAACTGACCACGTTTCAACACCACTGCAGTATACAGTACTCAGGGTTTGGTTTTGCAGGAATGTCAAGTAATTTGAAAAAATAATACAAAGAGTACGTATGCACAAAAACTGTTCAGTTTTAATTCGGCAATGCGTTCAAACCAAATGCTTGCCAACAGGGAGCTTGTCTATGGGCATAGCGTATTGGCGATACGCTATGCCCATAGTGGCGATATGCGAACCCCACGAGTGTTTGAAGTGCCATAAGCATGTATATAAATACGGACACCACGGCCTGTCCTGCGCATTCTCGGCTGGTAGACACCAAGGCACGGCGCACCCGTTAGCATCGTGTGCCGTTCTTTTGTTTCAGCTGGGATCCCGGCAAAGTTAGAACCCGCGGCACTTCACATACGTCCGAACGACGTCCCGATGGCTGCACAACCTTTGCCTGGGAGAGGGGGATGTGCCTAGCATGGGATGTCACGTGTGTGGATACTGTTGCGCCTTCCCACCTTAAATCTTCGGCGGCTAATGCAGGTGCAGCCGCGGTGGAAGCAGAAGAGAAGAAGTCGCGGCTTTTTCTGTACTTGAGCGGCAGGTATATTTTTGCTCCGATAGCCTTCGAAACAATGGGCCCTTGGAGACCGGCTGCTATTGCCATTATCAAAGAACTAGGCAGTAGGCAGACGAGTGGTACAGCAAACAGGCGAAAATCGTTCCCATGAATTTTTACGTCAAAGATTGTCGCTGGAGATACAACGGGGTAATGCGGTCTCGGTTTGGGTACCATGGAAGGAGCGGAAAAGTTTAATGAAGTTTTTATGTTGTAAAAATTGCCTAATACGTTGTACCACAGGTGAATAAAGTATACAATATTTACTTTGTAGTTTGCACCATCTGTAGACTGTAGCTGATATCGTATGGCTTCGACTGCTTCCTGTACCAGAAAATTATAGTGTAACGATAACAAAAACTGTATGTATATATAAGATTGACTTCAACGCTCAAGCGGCCACATGGAAATTACGGTAGCACGCTTAATATACAAGAAAATGACAACTTCCGGAACACAAGTTTGGTTTTTATGCAAGGGTAGATACGTTGGCACAAGAAATACTGAGTCAGTACGTCAACATGCGCAG